CAGAGTTGTGTTAGGCTATTTTGATTACCCCATTACAGTCACTTTACAGTCAGTGCTATCATAAAAATAGACTTACTTGTAGGTTTAAAATTCTACATGTCACATTTATTGTCCAACTACAAATATTTCAGCGAAATGTATATTTTAGTCAGAATTATTGCGCTCCTATTTAATTGAGCTCTGTCTGTTTGGCGCGCATGCACGCGGCGGCGCTCGTTCACTGAAGTCTGTGTGAAGTTTAGCGGAGAATCGCAAAGTAGAAGGCTCATGTACACCTGACAGCAAAATGGAAATACTTCCATGACTTTCTAACATTTACAGACGGAGAATATACCTGTGAAATATAAGTTATGCATTCAGGAAGGCAGCACATCTCGAACACATTAAACAGCACGAGTAGCCTCTAGTGTCTCTGTCAGCGGCACACGCAGCCTTTCAGTCAGAGCATATGACGGGCCGAGCCGCTTAAACTAATATGCGAAACGAAACTATAAACTATATGTCTTACCAGTTTTTAAAGGCCTTAATATGAAGCTTGTCACATGTTTAGAACAAATTGGATTATGTACTTTCACGCAGCAGCTCAGTCTGTGTCCTCCTCTATATTTTCAGATGCGCTCGTATCAAACTACTGTATATTGATATAAACGGTATTGCCTCATATCGAATCGCTTATAAAGAAAACATCGATATATCGTACAAACTCGATATACCGCCCAGCCCTACAACAGAGTACAATTTTATGACATAATTTGCCCCAAATTTAGCCAACTCTACTACATGCTTAAAAGTATTTACTTTTTCTTCACAAAAAGACTACATACTTTTTAGGGCACAAAATAAGTAGGTGAATTGGGACACATCAAGTCACTCGTTTCATTCCTGAATCAGTGTTCATGAATGAATCTGTTAAATTAATGACTCCCAGATGAAGAGCATTACTCGTTTCACTCCTGAATGAATCAGTTTTTGAAAAACATCACTTGAAAAATTATTTAAATGGCTCACTGATGAAGAAAGTAATTTATTTGATTCCTGAATGGATTAGTGATTTCGAACGAATCAGTTGAACAAATGATTCAGTGACTCACTTCATAACAGGCAACTACCACTACCTACTTGCATAAATATGTATAAAGACCCACTGCTAATACACAGACTGACTGTCTGCACAAAAACAGACAATCGGAGCGATACAAACTGTGAAAAGGTTTAGTATACACATGGCCACTGAAACATGCGTGCATGTGACTTTCTATGCATTTGTTTGAAGGAAAGTAAGTGCTCTGTGTGGAGTATGGCTAGATACACACAACCACTTAATGGCTTAAATGGACTGCTATGACTGCCAAAAACACAAGAAGGAATGCAAAAGCACAAGCTATCCATGACACTGCTCTGCCAACAATATGCCAGCTCTGTGTGTCATCCTGCCGCCATACATACTCATGCACTACTATAACAAGAGACACATGTGGCCAGATGCTCACAGCATTGGCTGTCAATACACACACACAAACACATGGCCAAATTAGAGAGCGAGACTAAGACAGCAAGACTCCTAGCAGGGAGCAAGGCTATTCACACACAAACAAACATGTCAGAGAGTCTGAACTTTAGTCTGCCTTCTTTCGCCCTCCGTTTTCTACATCGGTGTCTCTAAGGCTGTTATTATTTCTGAAGCATCCATGACAGTGGATGAAGGTGCGGAGCGGTTCCTCCAGTGTGCATGTGTGTTTAAAACCTATTGCAGTTTTTACCTCACCTCATTTCAGGTGTCTAAAGGCACATCAATAGGATTTGTTTTTAACCCTAGAAAAAAAAAAAACGTTCCTCTTTTATCTGCCTTACCTCAGTAAGACCAATAATCTTCTGTCATAGTGTTTTGATGACTTGGTCATCTGTATTAATTTTGCAATGTCATCATCATGACTCATGAATTAGCTTAAGGTCCTCCTCTGATGTGTTAAACACAGACTTTAAGTCTTTGAATTTCCTGTTGATCAAACAATTGGAACAATTTGGTGACCTGGGAGGATAAAAAGTTTGGCCCAGAGCTTTGGGAGGTGACAGAAACCAGTGATCAGCTTAGCGGTTACATCTCAATGTGAGATAAAACAGTGGTGTTTATGACACACATGAGGGAGATTGAGAGAGAAAGGGAGTAAAGAAAGAGAATTAGACCACAGACATACCATTTAATTTTGT